CCAACCAAAACTCATCCCTTCATTCACCAGGGTCTGTGTTCAGATGCCCCTCCACAGGAGCCTCACTCTAAAAGAAGAACATCAATGACTCTTCTACTATTTTTTATCATCTTTCTTTGCTTGAGAGTCAGACCTTCAAAGTGGCATCTTTTCATAACCAGTTAATAAGTAAACCACACTGATCATTCATGATGTTTTCCTCTTCTATTGAGTTGTTTCTATTTGCTGATATACTAGACTGTGTTTGATTGATGCCATCAACAGGGATTTAACTAACAACTAGTAACAAATTTAGATTGGGGGGACTGGAAGGTTAGTCAGAGGCCTTACAAACACATTGTTTACAATCCCTATGGTCCTTAAAATTTCAAATGACTAAAATAATTGTGCCAGAGGGAGCTAGCAGACAAAGGTGCTTGCTGCTAAGCTTAAAGACTTGAGTCTGCCCCCTGGGATCACCATGGTGGAAGAAGAGAATAGACTCTTGATAGTTTTTCTCAGACCTTCATCATACCATGGCATATGTTTGTGCATACATGTATGAGTACACACAATTAATTAATTGTACATGTGCACCAATTAATCACTCTGTACTGTAAGGAGTAATTGAGAGAAACATCACAATGGTTTCAAACCACAGTAAGCAACCTTACAATTTTCAAGTACATGCCTTGGCAAACTGAGCAGTCTCTTCTAATGTCCCCACACTTAGGGCAGGAGGGAAGACACTAAAGAACCCCCCTCATGAGACAGAGGTGACAATGCCACCACCCCCAGAGTGGCCCCTAGCCCTTTTCTCTCTGTTGACTGATTTCTAACAGAATGAAAGAGCTTTGTCTCCACAGAGCTCTGCTTCTCACACCTCACCATGTGTGCTCCCTAGCTCATCCACTTCTTTCCTCTTTTCCCTCAAAGGGAAACTCGGCAGAAACTTAGATCTTTTCTAGATTCAGCAAGGTGTCCCTAAAGTCTTCACCCAAGCCCTTTTCTAGGTCCTTGTTTTTCCTCTTTGTCTTTTCAAAGCAGCAGCTGCCAAATACCTGAGATTCTTGATAATACAACAATCCCAGCAAATTGCCTCATCAAAGCATGTGTTTTCTGCTGTTCTGAATACCTCTCATTGTCTGGGGCTCTGAAATCTCTAGCATCCATGTGATGATGACAACCTCCTAGTCACTTCCTTGTACTGAGCAGAAGCACTAGAATTTGACAGTATCTCCCAATGGGTTCCAATATAATCATCCTCCTTCTGTCTGGATCTTCACTCTGGCTCAAGACTACAGTCCACACTTTTTATTTCCTCATTTCATGTCTCAAACCACATAACATTGGGCATTTCATTCCTACATTTAGGCAACATATCTCAAGCAGCTCTAATACAGTCAGTATTATCATGGCTACTGGCATGTAAGTATGGATAATACCAAGACACCCTGGTCTCATAGGCCTACACAGTAAACAAGAAGACAATGAAAAACAATCTTTCAAGTACTGATGAAAGCTAAGCATGGAAGTATGGAGAACTAACTATAGAGCTGTGTGGTGGTATCTCACTGGCTTGGAGATTGTTGGTTGGGGGACTCTTTTCTTTCCAGAATTTTCATTCTCTTGTTCTCATTTCACATCTCTTCCAGTGTCATCATGAGATGCAGCTTTCCCTCCATCTTTGTCTCCTGTCCATGTTGGGCTGTATCTTCTCCATTAAGGCAGTTGGAGACACGAATAATTACTTTTTAAACAGTCTCAATTCTCTTATCTCTTGCATCCTATCTGCCAAGTTCATAACTCTGGATCCATGGTTCTCAACCTTCCTAATGCTACGACCCTTTAAAAAATTCCTCATGATGTAGTGAACCCAACTATAAAATTATTTCCTTATTTCATAACTGTAATTTTGCTACTGTTGTGAATGGTAATATAAATATCTGATATGTGACCCCTGCTGGAGTCATGACTCCTGTGGGGGTCACGACCTACGGTTTGAGAACCATTGTTTTAAAGGGCAAAATCACTCTGTGTGTATATATTCCAAGTTCAAGAGCTCCAGTTTTGCTTGGACATGTGACTGCACTGTCTATCCACTTGGACATTTGGAAGCCCCCTCGTCATACTTTCCTATTCGGCAGAGCATCTCCATCAGTCTCCTCCAGCTCCACACATTCACAAGCCTGTCACTAATCTCCTGTTTGAGACACTTCAGGGTAAAAGGTAGACTGCATTCACTACTGGCTTATCCATGTGTTACTTCACTGTTCAAAGATGAATGGCCTACTGTAAGTGTCAAGAATACAAGGTTAACAAGGGACAGAATCCCTTCAAATTTTGTTACCTTCTTGTAGCACATGCTATCTAACTTATGTCTTAAAATAATACTTTTTCCAATTTATAAGTGCTATATATGTGCCCAATAAGGAAATTTTGGAAAATACACAATAGCAGAAAAAGAAAAAAATGAAATTCAAAATTTATCCTACTACCTAGACACAAATATGATTTTTGTCCCCATACATACAGAAATATATTCATACAAAGAAATGTATGAAAATATGTATTATAATAAAGATTCTACTCTTTTATTTTTTATTTTATTTTATTTTGGCTTTTTTCAGGCAGGGTTTCTCTGTGTAACCCTGGCTGACCTGGAACTCAGTCTGTAGATCAGGTTGACCTCAAACTCAGAGATCTGCCTGCTTTTGTCTCTGAGTGTTGGGACTAAGGCTGTGCATTACCATAGGTTTCCAAGGTATTACTTTTATATAGCCTACCCTTTCACTTCATAAAACTAAGATTTGTTTGTCTACATATTCACTGCATATAAGTATTTCTGCATGGGTATACATACACACATAGAAGATGGCTGCGTATGAATGAATCTGCCATATAGAGAGTGCTTCTTTTAAATCCTCTGCTTTCACTTCCAATTCAATATTCTCACTTCATCGTTACATCTCTGATTATCTCTGTTGCCACAGGATTACCTATTCAGCTCATTCATATATGGAGGTATTCTATCTTCTGTCTTCAACTTTAATAAATTCCACTAACTTTACCACCCTGTATACTTCCAAACTTCCCATCTGCAAACTTTATGAGCTATGGTGCTTAATATCTGTGACATCTTCTGATAGTTCATACCTCTCATTCAAAGTACCCCACATCAAAGCAGCAGATATGCTCCACATATGCCGTGCTCTCCTCCTCTCTGTCTTGCTTGACTGATGCAATGACCATGGGTCATGGATGACTTCAGCTCCATAAATGTAAAGAATGCCTCATTTTCCCATTCTCCCAGAATTTTGCCAGAATTCTTCAATATTTCTTTTTAAAATAATTTATTTTTATTTTATGTATGCCAGTGTTTTGCCTGCATGTATATTTGTGTGAGGGTGTCAGATACCCTAGAACTTACAGCTACACTGACACAACTGTTGCAGACGGTTGTGAACTACCATGTGGGTGATGGGAATTAAACCCAGGTCCTCTAGATGAGCAGCCAGTGCTCTTTAACAGTTGAGACATCTCTCCACCCTGCTCTTCAATATTTCTTAATCAAATTAATGCAAAACTTTTAAATTGGTCTCTCACTTGAACTTAGGTGTCCCCAAATACATTGCCCCAGCATCCATGAATGAATCATAAACCTAAGCTTCAGCCTGTTCTTTGCTGTCTCCCATTGCACAGAGGCAGAAAACCAAAACCAAAAGCAAAAGCAAAACCAAAACCAAAACCAAAATAACCTCCAGGCAGAACTTGCTGGCCTCCTTGGCTTCTGAACCCATCCCTCTCTAGCACATCCACATTTCTCACACAGAACCCATTAGGAATATCAGAACAATGTCAACTCCCACATTTCCATGCCCTCTGCACTATGGTCCCCTCACATAGAGTAGGCAGTCTGACAGTGTCCTCCTCCGTGGTCCCATGTGAACTTTTGCTATTTGTCTCCTAAATCTGAGTGTTAGCCTGGGACATCTTTCCTAAAAGTCTACCTTAGCCTGATCTCTACTAGATCCCTGCCTGGGTGCTCTTGCAATCTTTGGTCTTCCCTGTGCTGTTGTCAAATTATACTGGGATAATGTTTCATTTGTTCATCCCATTAAGTTCTGAACTGGGACCATTTTCATGCATCTATGAATTTATAGCGGCATAAAGTACATTGCCTGGATGAGCCAAATTGCATTTAATGTTTTGTGAAATAATAAATTGATAAAATGTGCTCTGTTGTTTACTTATTGCTTCCACCTAATATTATTAGTGCCAAAGTTGTACATGTATACTTAATTTTGTATCTGCATATGATTTCATTGTGGTGAACTATAAATATGTGAGTCCAAGAACAAGACCATCAATCATAAATCTATGAAGGCACATGATAAGGGCATACAATTTAAGAATTGTCTCTGATAGAAAATCATTTTTTAATAAAGTAATACATTCTGGGTAGCTTTGACAAGTGTATGGCAAGGGTCTCACAGTAAGTACTGCCACTGTTAAATTCTTCTGAGTGTTTTGATTGCTACAGACACAATATGTGTACTGTTTACTAGAGGCTTTGCTAATGTGAGAGTGATATAAACCTATGAATATAACACTGCTGAACAGAATCACCCCAGCATAGACCTTGTTCAGATGAGAGTCAGCTTTGAGGGAACTATGTCCATTTAGGATGTCTTGAGGAGTTGAATTTTGCCCATGCAAACTTGCATGATTGGAAAAACAATACAGATAATAAAAGGAGAAGCATCATTCACAAATAAAGATAATTTGGTTGAAGAATGGAGAACAAAAGTCCTTTTATCTTCCTTGGACACCGACGTTATTTGTAAACACTTCACAGAGACTACAAACATGGGAATTGTTAATTTGCAATTTGGAGGAGAGCTATAATTACATTTGTATCTGTGAATGCTCATACAGCTACATGAACACATACACTTATATAATAAACTAGGAAATACAATGTTTAGTGTGAATTGAAAAATCTAATTTTCGTTCCTTACCTGAACCTGAGAAACTGTCTAAAGACCCGTCTGCTGCTGTTGAAGCTATTTCACTGCTGCTCATTGGCTCTGTTTTAACTACAAAAGTAAACACACATCACATACTCAATTAGTAGTCATTTATAAAGGTGTGGGAGAGAAAATTTAACATCCTAAATAATGTTACTACTAGATTCTCTTTTGGAAAAATTCTCATGTTAAATTTCTTTTCTATAAGAAAGTCCTTCTTCTGTTACAAATTACCCTTTAAAGCCATGGTTCTCAACATTAATGCTGTGACCCTTTAATACAGTTCCTCATTATTATTATTATTTTGTTGCTACTCTTCATAGCTGTAATTTTGCTACTATTATGAATTGTATGGTAAATATCTGATTTGCAGGATATTTGATATGGTACCTGGACCCACAGGCCTGACAACTGCTTTAAAGGAAGAATTTAAAAATTAATTAAATTCATTTTCAGTATCTACCTACTAATTTGCTTATTAGTAAAAACATTACTTACAATATACAATGTGAAATTATTTCTTGGTGTTTGTCAAAAATCTGTTATTTAGCCAGGCAATCAGAAGGAAAATTTAAAACGGTTTCAAGAAGTGGAGAATAAATGGCCATCCTTAAGACCAACTGATTCCATGGTGATTGAGAACAAGTATGTGCATATGCACATATTACACGCACACACACACACACACACACACACACACACACACACACACCCCCCCCCTAACCCTTCCTTAGATATTTAATATGGTGCAGACACAACCATAAGCCAATGAACTCCTATTACTAAGGCATTTGATATGACCAATTGAACAATAATTTTTGCACAATGAAGAAAAGAGGAATTTTTCTATTTAAAAATACTATTAATAGAAGATAGTGTAAGGAGGAAAAAATATATAAACATAATATATATTTTTATATAACCTTTGACAAAGTTCCTAAGGATTGAGAAGTACCATTATGATATAGGCCATAGGATGTCCACTAAATCTACTTCCAACAGAATGACAGAATCCCATATACCACCAGATAGAGCCATACTCTTTCAGAACTCAGAGCATCTGCCTTTTCCCTCCCTAGTTTTATAATCCCTTTTGTGGAATGCTGT